CCAAAAATTGAAAAAATCGGGAAAAAAATAAAATAAACTCTGAAATTCCAGAGTCTCTACTACATGNTGTGCAAATCCTGGTCGCGCCAACTCAAAATACGCCATAACTCCCTTCTAAAAACTATGTACACACAATGCTAGTTTCGCTTGGTGGCCTAGAAACCCAAATTTCGTGAAAACTAGGCCATGATGTACATCGTTCGAAAGAGCGTGCTTTGAGAGTTCTATTACAGTTTTCCGATTTCAAAAATATCGATTCAGAAGGTAGTTATGGTCATTTTAGTTTGGTGGCCTAGAAATCCAAAACTAGGCCACATCGTCCCAAAACTAAAATGACCATATGTCGTATTAAAATCAATATTTTTCGAATGTAAAAACTGATTTGGAACTCTCGAAGCATGCTCTTTCGGACCATGTACATCATGGCCTAGTTTTCACGAAATTCGAATTTCTAGGCCATCACTTTGAAATTGCCTAAATCTTCGGCAATACGGAAAATTATAGCTCGACATTTTAAAACAATTACTCAGAATCAAAAAAACACAAATTTAAAGCCAATGCGTCGATATTAAGTTGGTGGCCTAGAAACCCGAATTTTGTAAAAACTAGGCCATAGTGTACAAGTTTAAAAGCTCTCGTTTTATCGAGTTCGAAACAGTTTTAAGATTCGAAAAATATCGAATTTGAGGCGAGTTATGGACATTTTAAGTGGGTGGCCTAAAAATCCAAAACTAGGCCATATCGTCCCAAATTCGAAATGCCCCTAACTTCCTTCAAAATCAATAATTTTTGAATCTGAAAACTGATATGAAACAATCAGAGGGTGCTCTTTCGAACCATGTACTATGTGGCCTAGTTTTCCAATTTCGAAGTGATGGCCTAGAAACTCAAACTTTCGGAAAACTAGGCTATGATGTATATAGTTCTAAAGAGCATGCTTTAAGAGTTCCATACCAGTTTTTCAAATTGAAAAATATCAATTTAGAAGCGAGTTATGATCATTTTAGTTTGGTGGCCTAGAAAACCAAATTTTGTGAAAACTAGGCCGTGGTGTGCATGGATTCAAAGAGCATGTTCTGAGAGTTCCAAATCAGTTTTTAGAACTGAAAAATATCGATTTTGAAGTGAGTTATGGCTATTTCAAATTTGGGTTGATATGGCCTAGTTTTGGAGTTCTAGGCCACCA